TAATCTTGGTTGATAGTGGAAGTACACATAGTTTTTTGGACCCTAGGCTGCTCAACCAATTAAAAATCACTCCTGAGAAGGTAAAACCCCTTATAGTGACAGTAGCTAATGGGGAGAAACTTGTCTGTGATTCCATATGCTATGGCCTCAAGTGGCAGGTACATGATGAGCCCTTTGAGAGAGATTTTAGAGTGCTGAAGTTGGGTGGTTGTGATATGGTCCTAGGTATGGACTGGATTGACAACTTTGCTCCCATCCAGTTACACACCAGGCCCCCTAGCATATCCTTTCACAAAGATGGCAGGAAGGTGTTATTGAAGGGTATGACCAAAGGCATTTCCTTACATTCTGCTACTAAGAAGGAAATCAGGAGGTGGAAGATGGAAGGAGTACAAGGATATTGGGTTCAAGGGGAAATCCAACTTGCCCAGGGGGGTGAGCTATTGAGTTGTCAACAAGCAGAATCCAATGGTAACAGTTCTGAATTGGCTGGCCTTCTGCAAGAATATAAGGATTTGTTTGCAGATCCTAAGTCACTACCACCAAGGAGACCATTTGATCATGATATTCCATTGACCACAGGAGCTAAACCTATCAATTTCAAACCCTATAGGTACTCTTTTATGCAGAAAAACACAATAGAAGGGATGGTTGAGGACATGTTGTCAGCTGGAATTATCTCACATAGTACATCACCCTTTGCTTCTCCAGTGTTATTGGTACCTAAGAAAGACAACATGTGGAGGTTTTGTGTGGACTACAGGGCCTTAAATGAGATTACTATCAAGAACAAGTTTCCAATTCCCTTAGTTGAGGACTTTTTCTCTGAACTGGCCCATGCAAGGATTTTTACTAAGTTGGATTTGAGGGCTGGATACCATCAAGTCAGGATGAAGAAAGGAGAGGAATACAAGATAGCCTTCAAAACACACCTAGGGCTATATGAATTTAAGGTAATGCCATTTGGATTAACAAATGCACCAGCTACTTTTCAGTCCCTAATGAACTATGTGTTTAAAGCTTTGATTAGAAGGACAGTGCTAGTCTTCTTTGATGACATTTTGATCTATAGCCCTTCTCTGGAAAGCCATTGGGATCATTTAAGGGAAGTCCTAGAGGTAATGAGGAAACATCAGTTGTTGGCCAAGCTTAGCAAATGCTCCTTTGCTAAGACAGAAGTGGAGTATCTAGGGCACATCATCTCTGAGAAAGACCTACAAACAGATCCTGCTAAGCTAGTTGCAGTGGAAACTTGGCCAAAACCTGCTAACATTAGGGAGTTGAGAGGATTTTTGGGTCTTACAGGCTACTACAGAAGGTTTATAAGAGCTTATGGCACAATCAGTAGGCCTCTCACCAATATGCTTAGAAAAGATGCCTTCCAGTGGAGTGGGGAATCTGAGGCTGCATTTGAATCATTGAAGCAAGACTTATGTGGAGCCCCAGTCTTAACACTTCCTGACTTTGACAAGGAGTTTGTGGTGGAAGCTGATGCCTGTTATAAGGGGATGGGGGCAGTGCTTATGCAAGAAGGAAGACCAGTAGCTTATTATAGCAAGGGATTTGGGCCTAAGCATCAGGGGCTATCAATTTATGAAAAAGAGTACCTTTCCATCATCAATGCTGTGGACAAGTGGAGATCTTATTTGGTGGGTAGGCCATTCACTATCAAAACTGATCACCAAAGTTTGAAATTCCTACTGGATCAAAAGATTACCACAGCAATGCAACAAAAAGGCTTAACCAAATTACTAGGTTTGAGTTATAAAATTCAGTACAAGAAGGGAGTAGAGAATTGTGTAGCTGATGCCTTGTCTAGGAGGGTTCACAATGAGTCATCTGAATTACTGGCTATTTTAGCTGCAAGGCCATTGTGGATAGAAGAGACTATGAGTAGCTATGAGGGGGATGAGATGGCTTCCAAACTGCTTACTGAAAACCTGATTGCACCTGAAGAAGGATAACTGTATAGTGAAAAGGATGGCCTGATTAGATATAAAGGGAGATTGTACATTGGAGGAAATGGGGACTTGAGGGAAAGGCTCATGACACAAATGCACAACTCTCCTATTGGAGGACATTCAGGGCAGCAAGTCACCTATCATAGGCTCAGGCAGCTTTTTCACTGGAAGGGCATGAAAAAAGAAGTAAAGCTCATGGTCAGGAGTTGTGATGTTTGTCAAAGATGCAAGGATGAAAATGTGGCATATCCAGGGTTGTTGCAACCATTAAAGATCCCTGACCAGGCTTGGATGAGCATCTCTATGGACTTCATAGAAGGATTACCTAACTCTCAAGGCAAGGAAGTCATACTAGTGGTTGTGGATAGACTCACCAAGTACAGCCACTTCTTGGCCCTCTCACACCCCTATACAGCTGAGAAGGTGGCTGAAATATTTATGGAACATGTCTACAAGCTTTATGGGTTGCCTCAGAACATTGCAAGTGACAGGGACAAAGTGTTTTTGAACAAGTTCTGGCAACATTTGTTCAAGCAGCTACAGGTGAAATTGAATATGTCATCTGCTTATCATCCATAGTCTGATGGGCAGACTGAAAGAGATAACAAGTGTCTAGAAACCTACTTAAGGTGCATGGTGTTTCACAGGCCAAAAACATGGGTTAAGTGGCTTCACTTGGCAGAACATTGGTATAACACCAATTATCACACTTCACTGCAGTGTTCCCCTTTCCAAGCACTCTATGGGTATATTCCTCCATCCTTAGCTTTTGACATATCAACAGAAGGGGAGGGAAGTGACTGGTTCAAGGATAGGGTTACCATGACAGCCTTACTAAGGGGAAATCTCCAAAAGGCCCAAGCTAGGATGAAACAACAAGCTGATAAACACAGAAGTGAAAGGACATTTGAAGTAGGAGATTGGGTATATCTCAAGATACAGCCCTATAAACAGATTACCTTGGCAGTTAGGTCCAACATCAAGCTAAATACCAGGTTCTATGGGCCTTATGAGGTGATTGAGAGAGTTGGGGAAGTGGCCTACAAGCTCAGGTTGCCTGCAGAAGCTGCCATCAACCCTGTGTTCCATGTTTCATTACTTAAGAAAAGGGTGGGAGATGGGGTGATACCTCAGGCAGAATTACCCACCACAGATGCAGAAGGCATGATTCGAACTCATCCCATAGCTGCCCTGGCCAAGAGATGAAGTCCTTATTGTCCTAGGATGTTGTCAAATCAGATTGGTGAAACATTCTTCTCGTTGTTGAAGAGAAGTAATGCTTGATAAAGATTGTCTTTCACCAACTCTGTCCTTTCGTGCTTGTTGACAACTCCTGTTTGATTCTCGTTGCTGTTCTCGTGTCTTCTTTCGCCTTGGAGACCCTATCATTTAGTCATAACTCATTTTCGTGTGTTTGTCTAGCTTAACACGAATTACAGGGGAGTTATGGCAACTTTCGTCTAGGACGAAAGCAGCGATTAAAAAAGCTAAAGATTAGGGGTTTACTTTTCTACATTACATTGGTATCACCAAAATCCTAATACAATGTTCCTAACAAGAAAGAATGCAGCTGAGGTGGAAATTCTTGTGCAATGGGCTAATCTGCCCAAGGAGGCAGCCACATGGGAAAATTATCACCATATCACAAAGCAATTCCCAAATTTTGATCCGGGGACAAGGATCCAATGAAGAGGAGGGTAATGTCATGGTCCTGAGTGTTAAAGAAGGAAATGAGAAGATGGGGCTGGAATTAAAGAGCAGGGAAAATAAGCTAAGTGGTAGAAGACGAGGACCAGTACGACGTCGTTCGCAGAAGTTCACTTAGCCGTGTCATTTAAAGCCCACGACGTCGTATGAAACTAGCCGTTGGAGGCCATTAGGGCGCTTAAGAAGAAACGACGCCGTATGGGAGAAGCGGTTGAAATCACCCCGGCCTTGGCGTTTCTGAGAAGAGGATGCTAGAAGGAGAGAAAATGGCGAGAATTCCGGGAGTTTGTTAGCTAGCTTTGGAAGCATTAGCATAGTTGTCTATTAATCTTTACATTTTGTAATTTTGGGTTTTTACTTATGCTTGCTGAATTGAATCAAACCCTAATTTCCTTTCTCCTAAACCTAAATTCTTCCCTATTCTCTACCTCTTTCTTCTCTGCTTCTATACCTCTTCTTCTATTTTTTTGTTGTCATTTTCCAGGTTTGTGACACTCACTGGCACTCAGTGTTCTAGCAAGGTCCACCTTTCTAAAATGACATTACCAACATTGCAGTGCATGCATAGTTTATTTCTCTATAACTCAAAAATATTCGGATTGCAACAACTTAAAAGGCCCTTCAAAGTTCAATTTCCGAACACTATTTTATAGTAATAGTGCATTAATTGGTGTAGTTTATTTCCCGTTAAAGATAATTATCTAATGTTGGAATATGTATATTTATATGTCCTTTGGTACACTGGAAGCAGCCAATAACGATCCTTCTTTTGCATTACTCTGTATTATGTTGTCTATATGTTGTTATTTGTTCACATGATAACGGCTCAATCAGTGGATCTTCTGATACGAAAACAATCTTTTCAGGTACTTGAAGATTTTCTCAATCATACAAAAGATGGTGATGTGACAAAATGCCAAATTTCTGAGATGGAGATTCAGCTCGAGAATTTGAAGCAATCTGCAAATGAATTAAAAAGCATTAATGAATGCAGTCAACCATCTTGAAGGTATTGTCACGTGCAAGCTAAATATGTTTTTTTTTTTTTTGGTCAGACCATGAGGTTTCCTGAGCAGACCCTAACTGCAGGAGACACCTTTAAGCCCGTACCATACTCAGACTAATCCCCATTCGCACCGGGCTGGCCCAATTAAGGGACAAACTGTTGGCCAGATTGGTTTTTCCATACGAGAGGGGGTTCGAAATCCCGACCTCTCTTAAGGGATGAGATTGCATGGCCACTAACACCAACAAAGCTGGTTTGCAAGCTAAATATGTTACTTTGGAATGTTTGTCCACAAAAATGGGAGTGCCTAATATATTGTTGTGCAGGCAACCTGCTTTATCGGAAGAGTCTGCAGGCAGCTCGGAGTATAGCACTGGATCAACTTTACTAGCTCACGGGGTTGGTGATAATAGAGAAAAGAGCTAAGATGAGCTATGTGCATTGCATCAGGATATTGAATCGGGATTACAATCAACCCACATTGATGATGAATTTGCAAAAGGAATTTCTGGCAATAATGTCTAGACGACTTCTCAAGGTGTGAAAGACTTCTACTTTATGCAAGGCATTTTTAATCGGATTAATAGCCACTTCCACCTTATAAAATTTGTTTGTTTCCAGTCGATACGTTCCCAGCTTGTGACAAAGTTAATCCCGTTAATGAGACTATATGTGAGTATTCAAACGAAGAATGTTGTTCCCATCTTCAAGTAACCCCGATGTTCAGATCACTAGCAGCAGCTATTCCCAGCCCGAAATTTTCAGAAAGTGTAAGTAACACCCTTCATTCTTTCACTATCTGAGCGGCCTAAACTCTATTGAATGCTGACACTGTCTTTTCATTCCTTTTCAGGAGAGACAATTCCTACTAAAAACGCTTGGAATGGACTCTACGTCTCCGAATCCAAGCATCAATCCTTCTCATCCTCCATCGTGCAAGAGGGACCTCCTCCATAGTTTATGACAAAACTTACCAACCAATCTCATGCATATTCTGCGGGGCTCAACCACCATGACTTTTCGTCCAAAAATTTCAAACATGTGTAGATTATTTTTTAAGCCAGTTTTCCGTTGGATTGCAGTCATTATGACCTGAGTTTTTACAAAGAGGCCATGAAGATCTGGTCCCAAAGACCACAATCTAGAATCCTAAGGAGCATCCTAGTATTTTCCGAAGAGTGTCTGAACTTACCAGCCTAATACAGTGTCTAGAGTGTTGTGTTTTCTTTTTTTGTTGTGTCACATTCTTTTGTGTGTTGTATGGGAGAGTTGGATAGGGCATCCAATAATGTTCCCATAAGGTTTTTTACGGTATTTATTTGCCAATTGTACAGAATATATAGAATGTAGTTACAGATTGGCACATCGCCATTGATATAGAACATATCAAAAAGAAGAAGAATACATTGATAGAAGAGAGGAGGATCAACATCAACCAGTTGAACTGACCCCTCCCTCCCTAGTGTTTTTGCTTTGTGTGCAGAGTTTAGATAATAAGTTTTGTGGTGTTCTTATGTTTCTCTCATCTTTATGTAACATTTAACTCATACTTTTATTGGAGTGGAAAATCCAATATTGCCTTTGCGTGTATATATGTCTCAGAAAGCAAATTACTTAGAGCTGAACAAGATTTGGACTAAAGATGTGTTGTTAGGATTGAGCGCTTTATTGGCACATTTTTGTGAGGCAGAGTGTTGGACTTGGCCCTTCAGGTCTCCGCCCGACACTCCCCCTAGCCACATAGTGCTGGACTTGGTCCTTTACCGGCTTCTGCCCAACCAGATGCACATATGCATGCCCAGAAACCACGAAAGAATTATAAAACGACACGTTCTTGGATACATAGCATAGGAGATGAGTTGAGATATAGAGTTTCTTACACTGTTTTGTAGCTTTTTCTGTGGCCATGAATTCAGAAGCTTCCTTGACAGCACCTACTGAGATCTGCAATGGGGTAAGTGTTGTGGGGAAGAAGCTAAGGGGTCTGAGAAACTCTGTTATTTAAGTTGGTCAGAGGGCAAAGTGTGATGATCAATGGCAGAATGCATAAAGTAGGGGAGGGAACTCTTTCCAAATTAAAGTGTGGAGTATAGTGGCAGTCACTTAAGTGAAAGGACTAAATTGACCCTCATTCCCATTCTCAAGTCTTGAGTCAGAAGGGGGTGTTATAGTATATGTACATGCTACTGGTTCTCCAACAAGGGCCCAAAGTTGAGAATCCCATCATTTAAAGCAAAACTTTAACATATATAACACAAGGATTACAGTTTGGGTCCATCTCACAAATTTGAACTTTTTGAGTTTTGACTGTAAAACAACAGTTTGAGAACATAAATCTGTTGACCTTAAACAAAATATTTGATTCTAATCTTCACAGTAGTTCATGAGTAATTAGATGCAAGAAATGTTTTCAAAATCATTATTGATATATAAAAATCATGGACTTCCTCTGATCTTCTTTTGCACTATCCTCTCAACTTCCTCCATTTCAACTTTCAAGTATGACATTATCCTGAGAAAACCATTGCATCACTCAGCCACTCAGCAAAGAATTGAAGACACTACAAATGCTGACAGATCTTCAGCTATAAGAGGGAAACTTGAAAGATATGCCATGTCTGCAGCTTCTGTTGGGCATTTTAAGAATTAGTTGCGCACCGGCATTTTGCCCGGTTTACTGAGCCACTGAGCCATATATGATGGAAGGTCCAACATGCCTTTAATTTGCTACTATCTGTGGAAAGTCTTGCTACCAACTGGATGTATTTGTAATCCCTGCACTCCAGTAGCTCCACCAGGGAGTGTCGCAGCTTCCATTAGACCAAATCTTTATCACTTCATGAAATATTGAAATCACACTGAATATTAAGTTGGTGTATCAGCCTGAAAAACACTACAGCTATAGATCATAAGAAGCTTACTCAGAAATGACCATATCAACCAGACCACTTTAATTTGGTGCCAGGTTCAAGAAAGCCCAGTGCTCAAACCTCTTCTTGTTCGGACCATATCTCTTTGTTGACCGACCCCGGCCTATAAACAAGTAATATTGAAGGATGTATATATGTATTCAGTATATAGTTTTTGAAGTGCCAAGTTACTAAAAACTTAACAAATATATAGTGAAAGCTGCACCAGGACTATGTGGTCCAATGGTACCCGGGTTGGACTTCCATTTGGAAGATTATGAGTTCGAGCCTCAGTGGAGGCGTTATTGGTTCTTTGTGTTTCAGTAGGTTGAGAAAGTATATGAACAGATACTACAATGTAATAGAGCCAGCCACAATTCGAAAGTGCGTTTTGTGTGAAGCTGCCTTGTAAACCTAACATGCAAAAGACCATAAGGAGGTAACCTAGCCTAGATTGTTTGTATGTATAACTAATTGGTTCAAATCAAGAAGAGTAATTGACAATTCTCATAAAGAGTTTATATCCATAATCAGGAAAAAAAAATCAATGAAGTAAACAAGTTTAGGTTGTCAATCCGTGACCCCGCCCCTTTAAATCAAGAAGGCCTAGAGACGGTTCTCATAAGAAGTCAAACTTAAAATGTAAAGAGATTTCATTGGATTTGTGAGCATAAGCTGCCATCTTCTCCCAAATCATAGTGCGCATACACAAGTGACTGGGAGGAATATCTAGAATTCTCCAGTCTAATGGTGAATTTCGATTTTACAAGCTAAGAAAGATCAAGTTGAAGATAATGACTTTTTCTTTTAAGGGTACTTTTCAGTTGGGAATATATGTTATCATGCACTTTATAGACATTGCACTTTTTGCTTAATTGTGGAAACATTTCAAATGTTTGTATAGAATGGAGTCTTATTCATGCAAGTTATTCATCACATCTGCTAGTAGATTTGTTCTCTTGGGAGGATTTGTCATACTTAAATAGTTCTTTCGATTACAATGAATATCAGAAGATAAGACATCAATAAAATGGTCTCAACACTTGAATTCCAAAGTCTATGTTGATAGATTTGTTGAATGACATGCCGGTAAGATTTATTGTTTATATCTGCTGAAAATATGTATTTGTGGAACCAATTGTGATAAGATTTGCATTGATCTGCCAAATGTTTTTAACAAAGATGAATTCTGCTACTCAATGATCATGGCATGACCCGGAGATCCAACGGAACAAAGGAAATGAACAAAAGTGCATTTTGGAGTGAAGATCAAGACTCAACGTGACAAATTCAGTTATGTTTTTCTCTGATCTTCCAGGTGACATCTCGGTATTTTAATCATATCTCGATGTAGGAATGACCAATTCAAACTATTCAAACAAAATTGAAAAGTTATTTGAAAGAGCTACAATTTTTATGAAGACCACAAAGTCTAATTAAGATGTCTACAAGGTTAAAAATGACTTAGAAATCAGAATTTCTAGGCAGAGTAAAATTGTCACGACTGTGAGGTACATTGTGAGTTTTGGAACTTGCGTATTCACGTTGAAGCCATGGCATGAGGTTGATTGTGATCGGACATTCTAGAATATAATGAATAAAATATATTGTTTTTTGGCACGTTCTGGGAGTATAAATAGCGCATGACGGTTATTTTTAAAGGATTACCCATTTCTTTTTCCACTCTCTCCAAGATATATATTCTTCGGGAGAAACCTCTCAAACTACATTACCTTCTAATTAATTAAGGCTGTCTTCACCCATGTAATCTTCTCTCACTTTCGAAATGCTATATCACTAAATTTACAATTCTCTCTTATCTTTCAAAAGCAGTCTCACCTCCGCATCACTTTAATAAAAAATTTATTTTTTATCAATAACGTATTAATAATAATAATAATAATAATAATAATAATAAAGAAAATGTGTTAGAAAATAGTGTTGCAAGTCTGACACCAAACTTGCAATATTTGCAAGTCTGGCAGTGTCAAACTTGCAACACATAAAAAAAAAAAGTCATTAAGAATTTACAATTGACCAAATTCCACAAATGCAGATAGCCTAATAGATTTAGGATTTAGTGAAGATTTTCTGAGATTTCTATATTGTAATTCAACGTTACATTCAATTCGAGTTTGTAGTTTCAATTCACAGTGGATCAAAGCTACGTTTTTCATCCCTTACTTCCCAATTACTTCATTTCAATTGTCCCTTAAGTGGATGCAATTTCCTTGTGTGAATGCCATTGCATAAAGGGGATGTATTGAATTAGCTAGGCTTCTTGTTGTGTGGTAGTGCTCTTGGAGGTGTGTTGTTTCTATGAGAATAGGACATCACTATAACCACACTACTTACAATTCCAAGCTTGCTTTGAGAAAAATGATATTTCAAGAAGATTTTAATGTTATGTGTTCGTAAATTGCTCCAATTAGGATTGGATTGCCATGATAATGATATTCAATACTAATTCGTAGTCCAATAGCATTGGCACCTTGAATCATGATGTGAGCCTAATTGTACATTTTTCTTATGTTAGATTGAATCTATTTGTTGGGTTTAAGTTCATGAAAATGTTACTTTAAATGCATATTCCCTTGTTTTCTCATTAAGATATGGTTTTGCACTTGTTTTGAATGTTTTACAATATTTGTTAGTGTTTTGGAACCATTGTAGACCAATTGCAAAGGTAAAGGGAAGTGATAGGACAAATTCGGTGTCAAAACGAAGTTGCAGTTCGAGTTCAGAGAACTCGAAATGTTGAGAGGTCCAATCGAGGTGCCCGAGAAGTCGACGTCATACTTGATGCGTCGAGAATCCTTCTCGACGTGTTGAGAATTTACAATAGTGGTCTGAAGCAAGGAGTCGAATACTCGACGTGTTGAGCTTGTTCTCGACGCGTCGAGTTGCAGTTTTCAGCGACTTCCAAATTTTGCGTGAAGCTTCTTAATTTCCTCCCTTTGTGCTCTATCTATAAAAGGACCCATTCCTTCAACCCTAGAGGATCATGCTGTGTTTTGGAGACAAGAAAGAGGAGAATCAAGAGTTACAAGTTGTCTTGGGAAGAAAGAAGAAAAGCTAGGGAGATTTGGGAGAATCACTTGGTTTATTCTTTTACTCTCTTTGATTGCTTGTAAACTCTTTATTTTATTGCAATGAATTCTAGTTTAGCCATGTTTGGCTAAGTTTTCTTAGAGATTCTTGGGCAAAAAGTATTTATGAACCTATGTGCCTAT